AGTCCCTCGCCCCGCCCTAATCAAAATGGAAAGTTTGCGCCAATGCCTGGATCCTCTAGTGCATACATCGAATAAAAAAGAGTTTGTCTAAAACCATATCGTCATATTAATCCCAAAGTGGAGTATCTGAATAGCTGTCGAACTAAAAGTATTGAGTTTGATCTGAGTCGGTTATTTGCAAAGTGAATCCTAATTAACATTGTAAAATATTCAAGAAAAGTTAAGAACTGTATTTTTCATTCTAGTTCCAATATCTAAAGTATTATTTTTAAATAACATATTCATTATTTCTAACACTGATTCCAATTTTAGTTAATTTGAAACATCGAACCTTAAATAGGCTTAAAGTTAAATTTGGAACAAATTAAACATCAAAGCCCACTTTCAAACAAACAAAATAACAAAAAAAATTGGAGGTGAGAGGTAAAGATTATTAAAATTATACTGTAAAAAATAAACGATAATAGTATAATAAAATTAATTTATTTTTATATTTCATTTGAATTACAAAGTTAAAAAAGTTTTTGATGATATTATTTTAAATACATAAGAAATTTAATTATTATCACAACACTTGTATAAATATTTAGGCTTCTTTATAAAAAGAAAATTTCAACGTGGGATTGATTGAGTGTTTTACTTGGGAACTGTTAGTCATCTCGATTTCCAAAAAACATCACTTTATGTTTACTTTGATAATCGGTCACTTAAATTATGATTGCATATGGGAGATAATTTATTATTTGAATCAGTAATATATTGTTAAATTCAGTTCGACTCACTCCTGAAGTTATATGCATTGACACACTGTTATTGAACTTACACAGAATGGAGCAAAATTGAAAAAAAAAATCCATAAAAGTTAAATTATTGGAATCCAAACATACTAACTGGTTAATGTAGTTGATAAGTTTTGGAATAAATGTACAAAGCCATTGAGACAACAGTAATAAAACAGTTTGATAATTTTAACAGTTCCTCAAAATTATTAACAGTTCCTAAATTTTCAGCTTGAATTTAGGTTTCCCTATTAGTTTATTTTCTTCAGATAATATTATATAAAATGAACGATTTTCAGTTTATGATTACTTCAATTTATAAACATCAATCAATTTCTTTTTCATTTGTTCTAATTCCACTAAGTAAGTGATAAGTATGTTTTCCCTATAATATTATATATATATATATATATATATATATATATATATATATATATATAGTGTATACAATTCTTCAAAAATAATAAGTATATTTTACAAATCTTACAAACAAACCGTTGAAAAAGAAGGTTGTTCAAGAACAGTTTTATTTAGTAGATATTGTGTCTTTTTCTTGTAGGCAGTGAAGTGCTGTTGCCTAGCGGGATAATGGATAACTACTTGCCATCACTAAAATGTTCACCCCAGACTGTGATATAAATCACTCTAGTGAACCAGTTTTTGATAAACAACGACTCTCAGTGATATATATGTATGGTATATATATATGGTATATATATATGGTATATATATATATATATATATATATATATATATATATATATATATATATATATATATATATATATAATATATATATATATATATATATATATTTGGTAATTACCATATATTTATGTACATTGGCTCACAGCGAAATTACCGGTGTTAAAATACTTATGGTTACAATGCTTACTTTAAACAATTGAAACCAAAAACTCTTCAACAGATGTATTTATTTATCATCTCTATTTAAATATGTACGAACTCAATAAAATCACAATATTCAAATGTGTTTGTTAAAAAAAATAAATAAATAAAAAACAAAAATGAATAATTTTACCTCATAGTCTAAATGATACACCCCACTCCTTAACTTTTAAATACTTTTAATTTAGTTCAATACCTTGTAGGCAAGCCATTATTTTCTATAACTTTTTTCAGTCTGTTAGCAATGGAGTTGACCATTTTTTTTTATGAATTCTAGGCTTAGCCTGTTCCATTTTTCAAGTAGATATTTTTATAAGTCTTCTGTGTTAGAAATTCCATGTTTTCTAATTCTACCTCCGATTTTACCCACAGGTCTTCTATAACATTAAGATGTGGTAACTATAGTAAAGTTGGCATAGTGTAAAGTGTTTGGGATCATTATTCTGATAAAAAACTAATTTTATTTTTAGCTCAGATTTTCCACAATTTATTTGAAGTTTCTTCTCAAAATGTCTATGTAAATATGTTTATTCAGTATACAGTGTAAATATTTCCACTATAAAAAGAAGATTTCTTACACCAGATGCCACCATAAACCTCCAGTATCAAGAAACATAGCATAAGAACAAGAAAAATTATTAGGGTGTTTATTGATTACAATCAATTATTGTTTTCAATGTAATATAAATTGAAATTGGTAACCCATTACAGAAATAATAAACATATGGGAGATGAGAAAAAGATCAGTAAGTGTGGTCTTTGTCTTTGTTCAATCCCATAGTGGCATAATGGTCAATTAAAAACAGACCAAGCTGCTCATTTGGCGAGGAAGAGAGAGGTATCAGATATAACACCAATAAATTACATCACCGTTGAAGATTGGATATATGCAACAAAAAAAAAAGCTATTAAAAAATCGGGAAGGCCAATGGAAAATACAACTAACCAAACTAACAGAAATAAAAACCGAGTGCAACACATGGGTCACATGCTCCAGAAAATCTAAAAGGAAAGAAATAATATTGTGCCGATTGGGAATTTGACACTGTCTTTTCACACACGGATACCTTCTTAGAAATCTCGAAGCGCCAACCTGCCAAAAGTGTAACAAAACACCTCAGACAGTCAAACATTTATTACTAGAGTGCCCCCAATATGAAAAAAAGAGACAAAAATTAAAGTTTTCGACTACATTGAAAGATATTTTGGCAGACAAGGAGGAAGATGTCATCATTCTCTTTCAATATTTATTAGAAACAAATTACTATAACAGAATAAAAAAATTAAGAATTACCAATAATGACCCTCTAGGGTAGAGGCAAATACAAATAAAAAAAAAATGAACTATTTATTTATTCAATAATTTCTATCAATATCCAGGTTTATCATTGTGAATGTGATTCACTGTATATATATATATACATACATATATATATAATGTACATTATCAGATCCTGTTAACAAGAAGAAGAATCTCTATTTTGCTGTTATTATATTGTTATATGAGCCTCTCAGTTGACAAAATGACTACCTCCAATTTCAACATTTTTGAGTAGTCATTTTATTGATATTGCTGGAAAATTCATATCTGTACAGACAGTGATACAGATTAAGTTGATTCTAGAGTAAGTGATTGCAATGTTAAAAAATAAAACTGTGAATAAAGGTATACATTTTCCCACTAGAAATATCACTAAAATTAATACTCAAAAATTTTGAAATTTGAGTTAACCATTCTGTCAACTGAAATACTGATATTTTTAAGTGACCATTTTTAACAATAATGAAACCAATATAAAACATAAATTTTCTTAAAACCCATAATCTATAGGTGAGGTATTTTTGAGGTACTTTTGTATCATTAGAGGCCACAGTAAGACTCGACAGTGAGGAAATCCCTCATTCAGCTTCTTTGGGCCTCCGAAGCGTGTTGTATGTCTTGCAACAGTGTGTTAGTATGTCAAGCATTTAGTTTTGTTAGATGTCTTGTATGAATTGCTGTATCGTCTGCGTATTCCGGCGCTGTTAGAAATATTGTGTGTATATTAACTGTTGAAATACAAAGGTCTTAATATAATTTTTTTTTATTAGTTATACATATTCCTGGCTCACAATAAATTTGCCATCTACCTCGGTATCCAGCAAATATGATATCAAGGAGAAGAAATGATAGCATAAAAAAAAAAAAAAGAATAGTAACAACAAAACAAAAAGACAAATCCGCCCCCCCTCCAAAAAAAAAAAAAACAGTAGTAAAATAAAACATACATGATAACATAATAACACACACACACACACAAAAAAGATAATGCAGTAAGTAGCTCAATGCAATAAGTCTCTTGGCCAGCGCCTCAGCAGTCTTCTGGGCGGATTATATGGATTTGTGGCCGTAGATAGAGCTTGAGTAAGTGGATTGGAATTTAGAGTCAGTCTGTCATGAAAATTATTAAAGCGGTCAGTGGCAGTTGTCGTGATGAAAGGAGTGTTAATATCAGTGTGTAACGTGAGGTTTGAAACATAAAAGGGTGCGTCTACAATTTTCCGAAGAATTTTTGACTGGAATGACTGGATGATTTTTATATTTGATATCTTTGCTGTTCCCCATAGTTCGATCCCATATGTCCAAAGTGGTTTAATGAGGACTTTGTAAATAGTTAATTTATCAGTCACAGATAATTTAGAACGTCTGTCAAGTAGCCTAGAAAGAAGTCCGTATCGCTGATTAAGTTCTTTTCTTTTTTGTTTTATGTGGTGTGTCCATGTCAGTCGTTTGTCCAAGTGGAGACCCAAATACAGTTTTTGAAGGTGGTAGAGCGATATTATTAAATAACACTGGAGGACAAGAGTTATGTTTAAGTGTAAATGAAACAAATTGGCTGTTAGACTCGTTCATTTTTATTCTCCACCTTTTAGCCCAACAAGCTATGTCGTCTAGGTGTTCTTGAAGTACCTGAGAAGCCTTTGCTGCATCCTTGTTAGATGTTAATATTGCCGAGTCATCAGCAAATGTAGCCAATAGTGTTTCAAAATACTGCGGGATGAATGAACAGTAAATATTAAAAAGTATAAAATAATGTTTGCGATTTATCATGGAGTTTTATTTATATCTTAAAAGTTGTTGATTTAAAAGTTTGTAGTTAGCATTTAAAGTTGTATTTTATAGGCATGCTTAACTAGTCCAATTTATAAAAAAGGTATGATTTAAAAAAAAAAAATATTTTAATGAGACACAGTCGATGTAAATTTATATCTCTGCCTAATCTCATTGGTCGAGCAGCGAAGCGTTAAGAACACGCCTCACAGGGCAAAGTGATGTTCCAGATGTTGACTTGCCATTCGATTGGTTCGAATTGGATCGCTCCAGCTCCAGACAGCCCATTATCAGCTGGAGGCACATGGAATAAGTTGGGGGTACGTTGAACTTCATTCTTCTCTCCCCACAAAGGCTATCAGATCTATCATTAACGAGGAGTTTGCCATCTCTTCACTGGTATTTAGAAATGGGGCTGTCTTCGTAACGGCACCGATAAGAACTGACACGTTAAAATTCATCATAATATGATTATAAGATTACAAAACATCATATCCAAAGGTAACATGATGCTTATGAAGGCTTCATTCGGTAGTTTTTGCCAATTGCTGTATACAAGAATGACCTAACTATTTTGGTTTATTATTTTCAATAATTAACCATTGTGATCGACCAAAAAATTCGAAAACTTAACCCCCTCTCAAAATTTGAGTTTTCGCGTTTCAGGATGCGTAGAATTCGAAAAACGAATACAATTTTTTTTGTCCGTCCACCGTACGCCGTACGCGCATTTTCTCCGAAACTACTGGACCGATTTTTTTTTCAAATTGGGATATAAAATCAGAGATCACCCGAGGATGATCCTCATTCATCGACATTATTATGCGCTTTTTACTTTCAAAATGGCATGCGAAAAACCTTCGTTGCTATAGAGTGTAGCGCCTAAACGAATGTAGCGATTTCAATGAAACATCGCTAAAGTTTTCTTCCCGATACCCTTTAAACTTATCTAATAATATACTTCAACGAAAAGATACTGGAAAAAAAATTATGGTACAATTAGATTGCGAATAACTCAAAAAGTATACACTCTTTCGTAAATATTGTTCATTATTAACAAAGTTTACGGAATTTCCTACAAAAAAAAAAAAAAAAAAAAAAATCGTCAAAGTCGGACAATTAGGAATAAACTTATGGTCTAGTTTTTTTTTTTTTTTTTTTTTTGTATTTCCTACTGCAAAGCTTATATCCTCTCTTTTGGTTTTTGAATTTTGAATATTTCATTGAAGTAATGGTAGTTTTTTTAGCATATTACTTATGATTAAAAAAAAAGTGTAGTCCAATAATTGGTATCACCTTTTATTTATTTTTCTTTTTAATTAGGAAGGTAATGTTACTTTAGATGTATAAATGTTTGAAAATAATAAACCATTGTGGAATAATTTGCAGCGTTTTTGTATTTGGAAGGAATTTTCCCAATATTCGTTATAATATCACATGAAGAGGTTATATTCTGTGAGTAAAAAAATACTTAGGCCCAGTTTATAACAAATATTGTATTTGACATATAGCTATTGTATGGAAGCTCATGTTGCCCAAAATTGGTCTTGGTATTACACTTTGCAAGACCAAGACCAAGACCGCCTAATTGCTGTAAGACCAATACGCAAAAAAAAAAAACATCGCTTTTATGAATAAAAATTAAGGTAAAATATTTAATAATACTAGACAATTTTAGTTACTTTATGTAATGAATCGTCCGATAGTGTTGTAAAAAAGCTTGGTGAGAAGTCTATAAGGCTTGAGCCGAAAAAAACTCGAGCTTTCCCGAATATATACGAGGGCTTGAGACCAATTCCGACCCTATATGTGGGTTAAACCCCCTTAAAAAAAAAGAAAAAAAAAGTAAAACGAAGTATCACCCGCATAGTTGTAACTAGTGTTGCTCAAATGCGAGACCGAGACAAGTATTGGTCTTGCAAACTCAGTCTTGGTCTTGCGAAGGAGTCTCGTAACAGTCTTGCAGTTACCTATTAGCTTAGTACTACAGAGATATTACTGTATTTTTTTCAAATAAGGGAAGCCTAACTAAGTCCGAATGAAAAATTAGAACAGTTAAATTCAAAAGTATATTGGTTATACCAATTCTTCACATATAGTATCTAACATTGTCAAGCATTAGAAAGTTTTTTCCTTAATTTTTATTCAAAAAATCGATTTATTTTCACTAGTCTTGGTCTTGGTCTTGCAACAGTGGGCTGGACTTAGTCTTGGTCTTCCAAAGTGCAAGACCAAGACCGATTTTGGGCAATAATACTTGAAACGTATTGCCAAAAGCGGGACCGAAAATTTGGTTGGTATCGCCCAGAGCTTCTCAGGATTCGTATATATCGTTAAATGCTTCTCAATACAGGCCATTACGCTTGAAATTATACTGACAGTGTTTCAATAATGTTGAAGGAGCTTCAATAATAAAATAAAATAAAAAATTGACATTAACCAGTTTGATTGACAAACTCGATATTGATCGTTTAAGGAGCTCTTAAGGCCCTCTTTGAGCTAAAAAGGCTCGAGTCTTAAAGAGCTCGGTAGTAAAAGGCTTGAGTCGCGGCTGGAATCTTAATTTTTTTTTCCAAACTATTTTTTACATCATATTTCAAAAACATATTCACATTGCTAATATCAACAGAAAAATAATATATTCACTTTATATTTCGGAAATATATTCACATTGTCACAACAAACAGAAATAAATATATTTATTTACGATAGATATGTAGAGTTCTGCAGTATTCGGATAATATTTTACCCAAAATAATAGCAAAAGAAATAATTAAAAAAGAAATAGGTTTGTAGAAAGAGATAAAACGTTTAACAAATCAATACCAAATAAATTTTGATTATAAAAATACAAATAAATGGAATGTGCCTTTTCAGAAAGTAAGAGGTAATCTGACAATATGATTAGAAAATAGGTTCAAAACTCTAGCAAAAAATTCAAATAAAAGTAATGTATACAAAAACTTGAATCATGATATATCAGGGAACAATTAATTCGATAAGAATTACAATTAAACAATAATAAAATAAATATTTAAAGTCAGAGAAGAACTAATAAAATTAAACTATAGGGTATATTACGAAACAAATAATTACTTATGTTGATTATGCAATATGAATGAAATAGAAAATATCGTGCATTTCTTTGGTGTATGTCCTGTTATGGCTGAATTTTGGAGAAAATATTTTGGAAAAGATAGCCTGACATTTGAGAAATAATTGCACATTTGAACGGAATAAATTGGTTAGGTCCATCCTATTATTGTAAAGAAGTATGGTAAAGCATATTTTAATTCTATTAAAATATCTATATTAAAAATATCTATGTTTCTCATACAAATAGAGCCTAGCTTGGCTATTGTACAATAATAAGGTTTTACAAATTTACATATATATAATTTAAATATAAATAAAATTTACAATATTTAACGTTTAGAATGGGTTTCACAAAACATGAGTAACAATAAAAATTAAAAATTTAAAACGATTAGTGCATAATAATAGCTATATGAGCCAGTTAGTATGATAGAAACAATAAAAAATAAAAATATTTATAAATATAAACAAAATATTACTCTTAAGATAAACTAAAAACAAACGCTTAATAGAACATGGCTATGATCAACAATTTTGTGTATGCATTTTGTGTACTCCCATCATATAATAGTAAAATTTATTTAACTATACAATCGATATTCAGTATGGAATCGACGTTGCGGTCATCAGAAGATTCTGAGATGAAGTTTTGAAGGAATTTTTGTCTATAGTCATTGTATGCTGGGCAGTGAAGGAAAATGTGATGTAGACTTTACAAATGTGATGTACTATTATATTGTAGATAAATTGACTGCATGATATACAAGTTTCTTGAGACTCAATCGAAAAAGTTCTGTTTTGGCATAGATTCTGATATGTTCTGGGTTTGCAATTCTTAATTGACTAACACATTTCAATTTCTTTATGTGGACTTTGGATGTAAGGTACGTTTCAGGATCGGGAGCACTGTAACTGCATAGCATTCTGTATAAAGAGTAGTTAGAGGAGTTGAAAGTTCTTTGTATGTCGGCTGAGAAATAATAGCTGTGTGCTTTTTCAAGGATGTCGTCTTTGTATCGAAGAAGTCCGTTTGTGTGGTGAACAGAAAGCTCTTCTGCAAATGCATTAAGCTCGCGTATGTCATTATATATTAAAATTTTATTGTGTATTTATAATTGTGATATTAAAATTTGATATATTTTATTTCTGTATTTATTAGGATTTACATTTTATTTATTAACATCAATATATTATGTTTTAGTTTATATTATTGTATCAATAATACTTGTTTTTCCAAGGCCAGCCTCCGGCTGACGGTTACGAGAACAAAGCCGCAAATATTTTTTTTTATTGAGCTTGGATAATTTTGTTGTTTGTTATTGTATAAATACTCAATAAAAAAATCATTCATTCATATTTGTTTACGAAAATGTACAATAATTCAATTTTTTTTTAAAGATAAATTCGCCAAGGTTAGAACCATATGAGACTTCAACTCGAGCACGGCAGGATCGAGCCTTTACGACTCGATTCGAAATTCGAGGCTTGTTTTTACAACACTAATTGTCAAACCAATACACTTTTGCATTTAACTCTTACAATATTTCATTCGAGGTTTAGTTACGTTTCTCCATTCTGAATGACAATAATATCCATATAGTATGCAGAGGTGACATTTTTTATAAGTTTATTAAATTTCCAGAGAAACTATAATAAAAATCGTCTAAATCGAACCAGTTTTAGCAACGTTACAGTGTATTGAATTTTATACGCTGATTTTAATAATTGTTCACTTGCCCGCTTATATTGCTAGAGTTCATTAAAGAAATCATACTGTTATGATCTCAAAGAGCAGCTGAAATTATCCAAGCTATGGTAACGCGGAACAAATGTTTAAGAGAGGTTTGTGCCCTACACATTTCCTAAATTACATTTCCTTTATTAAATTTATAGAAACACATAGGAATCACGAGAAGGCTTATCAGTGCCTTATCAGAATTATCAGTGTTGAGGTTATAAACATTGGCAGGTAGCAGTCCGTCCCGACCGGTTATCTAACAAGTACCGTATTATTTTTAAATAAGCACCGGACAAACTGGTAAGATTGGTAAGGCTATCTGGCGGGTCTAGGTTTAGACGGGATCGACGGGACATCGATTGGTGTTAACGGCATTGAACCTTCGGGTTCGCTAAGATAAGCCTTTACTATTATTATTGAATTAATATTAATTAAATTTCTTTTTTTCAAAAATCAACCAATCAATCAAATAGCTCTAGATAAGTAATTAGCTAACCTATTTCTACTTCAGAACTTGCATAGTTAATTTAAGATTATATAGCAGATTTTTAGTTTTTAGTGAAACCATTTCGTATTTATATGATAAGAATTCTAAACCAGTTTAGCTTCAATCCGCCCCTTTGCATAGAGTCGTGACTTTCCAGCATTCGTGCCTCATGGTAGCGGTTACTGAGATATTAGCAACGTAAATTTTATAGGGCCGTTAATATTATATCAAAGTGAAAGTTAAAATTTAGCATTTCAGTGTGGATCGGTTATAATTATCTTATTTCCATGTAATTGTATAAATCAATTCTTCGATATCATAACTTATTGTTTTATGGAATGTGTGAATAAGTCCCAGGCATTTTTAATCAAAAATAAAACTTATAAAAATCCGATACCTTGGACTCCACTTAGACAAACGTCTAACTTATAACTCCCATACCAGACTGAAACGACAAGAAACAGCTCGACATTTCCGACTACTCCAGCACTTACTAGACAAACGCTCTAAGCTCTCAGTCAATTACAAAAGATTCATATATATGACTACAATAAGACCTATTTGAACTTACGGAGTTGAGCTCTGGGGCTCCAGTAAGCCATCGAATTCCTCTCGTATCCAATCCTTACAATCCAAAATCCTTACTGCTCCTTACTTTGTCACAAATAAAATCATCCATAACGACCTTAATGTTTCAGATCTGGCCCAATCCAGACACCTATCCTTCCATAAATAACTTCAGCAACAAACAACAATTAACAAACTGAAAAGAAGATGGCCTCGGGACCTTCTAATATAGAACTTTAATTTGAGTTCTACCAATGGGTAGTTTCTCTTCATGTTGTACATGTCATGTTACCAATGTCACATTTCCTTGTATTTTTCATGTAATACAGTTGTAAATTTCATTAAAATGGAAAAAAAAATCAGCATTTTAGTTTAGATCGGTTGTAATTAGCTTCTTTCCATGTAATTTTATAAATCAATTGTTTGATATCATAACTTATTGTTTTTATTGAGTGTGAGAATAAACACCAGGCATCTTTAGATCAAAATTAAAACTTTATTTATAAAAATCTGCTATGAGCAACACACACAACTTTCACTTACCGCTCTAACTCAGTGAATTTCACGCATATTTTTATATTCCAGCTTAGTTAGTTTTGTTCTGACCGAAGAAAATTATTGTTATCACGCGGCTGAGGATCGGACATACTAGACTGACTCACCTCCACCTCATAACAAAACATCTTATCCCGAGATGTCAAAAGTGTGACCAGTCATTAACTATAAACCATATTTTGGAAGAGTGCCCTTTTTACACCGCAAGGTTAAAAGATCTCGGAATACGCCAGAATATATCAGCATCTCTGGGATATCAAGAAGAAATCATTACCCAAGTTATCAAGTTCCTGGATAGTGAAAGACTTAAAAAACATAATGATAGAGTTAAAATACGTATATACATAAATAACACACACACACACACACACACACACACATATATATATATATATATATATATATATATATATATATATATATATATATATATATATATATATATGACAAGCTGATAACTAATGACCCTTTGCAGATTTATTTTTATTTACTTTTCTTTTTTCTTTATTTATGTATTTTTTTTAATTTTTATTTTTCATTGTAAAAGTTCATTTGTTTATTAATTCCAATTCAGTTATTGATTTTACTGTTATTTTTTTTTAAGTTTACTTATTTATATATTCTATCTCATTTTCTAAGTGTCTATTATTATCTTTATTTATTTCTTTTATTCGATTAATCCTTATACATTTTTTTTTAATCCTTTTTTTTAAATTTTTATTTTTGTACCAACCATCCAAACAGTATAAAAGTAGAGTGTTATTTTCTTGATCGGGCGCTGATGACCTGGATGTTTAGCGCCTAGACTTCGAGACAAACAAACAAAGGGTAAGTGAAAGTTGTGTGTTGCGCTCACCAGATTTTTAATTTTTGTGTCCCCAGACATATTGGTCAGGGAAAATTATCATTAAATAGGGAAATGTCAGGGAATTTTACTGTTACTTCGTTTGTTATCGTGAACTCCGGAACAAACAAAAGGTTGAATTTTTCCTATGGATTTTTCGTTTCATCAATTTTACGAGAGATTTTAGACCTTGTAATATAGACATTTTTTAGCCAATGAAAATGGTGAGGAAGCTATTCTGACCTTACTTGGCAAACGTTTTTTAAATGCTCATGTACTACTTTTCATGTTAGCCTAATACATTTCTGTTCTATTTTCTTTTTCATAGACGCACGTGGTTCCTCTCCGATGCTGCCTTCTCGCCCTTGGCTCGCTGTGCGTGTACCTCGGAGCCAAGCAGTACGACGTTTCGGCCGGTGGACCCCTGGGATCTTTGGCGACTGGATGTGTAAGTGCCTACTTCTGGAGGGCGCAAGGCTGGACTGAGGCCAACGTAAGTAAAATCATAGCCATACTACTTAATATTAAAAACAAAATAAAATAAAAATCCACAGACTTTGATCAATGAATTAAAATAACTAATCATAATTAAAATATTGAATATTTAATAGTTGACCGTTGTATTATAAAGGAAGGAGATGGTCCGGGGAGACGGACATAAATAGGCAGAATAATGGAAAAACTATTTTATTAAAAGCCAACGTGTCGACCCGACTTTGAAGGGCATCTTCAGGGCTAGAACGGACAAGATACAAAAAGAGACTTGTGAAAGTTACATAATAATATAACAAAAAATTATAAACAATGTGAATAAGCTCATTAAAATTATAAACAGTAAGTACATCAAAATATAAACAGAGTAAGCTAACTAACAAGATTCTAAACTGTCAGCGGAAAAAAAAAGTCTTTTTCCACATTCCTTTATATCTAATATCTCATATTATATAATTTTTCCTTTTCTTTCAATCTCTCCTGTAGATCTGTAGAATTATATTCGCATTTGCATATATTATATATTTCACTACAACTATTGTTATCACCTACTTACTTCAGTTTAGGATCTTGTAACTTAGTTTACTCTGTTTATATTTTAATGTACTTACTGTTTATAATTTTAATAAGCTTATTCACATTGTTTATATTTTTTTCCCTAAATATTATATAAATTCAACAAATCTCTATCTTTTTTTACCTTGCCCGTTCTAGATCTGAAGAAGACCTGAAAATTTGGGTCGAAACGTTGGCTTTTAATAAAATAGTTTTGCCACTATTTAGCCTATTTATGACCGCCATCCCGGACCATCTCTTTCCTTCATAATTAAAATAACATCCATTATTTATATATATATTCCTTGGATATGAAGATGATATAGCTGTCCGATATATATATATATATATATCGTTCTCATGAATAGAGAAATTCCAATATCTAGGTTCCACAATAACCTAAATGAATGACCAACGGGCATAAATAGACCAGCGTATTAAATGCGCAAACGGAGCTTTCTTCTCCCTCTCAAAGATATTAAAATCCCAAAAAATCTCAATAAACTAAGTGTACTATACAACACTATGATAAAGCCAGTTCTAATGATTGGCTGTGAGAACTGGAAAGTAAACAGCGCCATAGAAAAATCTTCCGCACGATAACTGAAACGATTCGGGATCAGGGTACGAACACACGGAGAAGAAAGACCAATTAAGAACTGCTTACAGAAACCGCTAAATCTATATATCATGACTAGTTGGCCGTGCGAAAATTCGCAGAAAATTTTTTTTAATGAAGAAATAGCAAAACAATATGCACAATATTACTCAATTCTTCTTCGGTGCATACTATTATTTTCAAGTTAATTTATTATTAGCCATATTTACACCAATTTAAAAAAAAATTTTGTCACTTAATGACTACTCATCAAAATGACGACGTTTCGGCTCGTCGAGCCATTTTCAAGTCTAAAAAAAAAAAAAAAAAAAAATATTTTAGCGTCTCATATATTAGAAACTTAACTGATAAAATTGAAAGAACATTTAAACAATACGATGTAAATGAAATTAAATTTGCAAGCAAACCAATTAATAAATTAGATACAATTTATTCGAAAACTAAAGATAAAGTACCTATCGATAAATTAAAGAATATTATTTATAAAATAAATTGTAAGAATTGCGACAACAAAGCATATTTTGGACAAACATCCCAATGGTTTGAAAAAAGGCTTAAACAGCATAAACAAAATTGTAATTCAAAAAACACAAAAATTAAATTAGCTACTGGACTCTCACAACATAATATGCAAACTAAACATGAGTTTGATTTCAAAAATGCCAAAATCCTACATAATGAAAGAAATACGAATAAACGTAGAATTAAAGAATCAATATACATAACTAAAAACTTAAAAAACTCAGTAAATAATCATACAGACGTGGATAATATGAATACTTTTTATGCTAGTTCTATTGAAAAAATCAAAATTTGAAATAAATCAGCTAATATTACTTAAAATAGATCCACATGTAATATTGAGTAACAGCATTATATATGTTCATAATAAATAGTCTTCCCCTACTCCTATAAGAATAACCAGTCACTGAATAGAAATGAGATGGATGACATGTGGGTGACTCAGAAACATGGTAAATTTAACTTATTTTGAATCATGTAATAGTAAAGATGAGTAATAATAATGTTGTTAAATAATTAAAGGTGAACATGACAATAATAATGAATTTTATTATATTGTAGACGCTTGCAATTCGCATAAGTGAAAATGACAGGTACATGATGGGTATTTTAGGTACATAATAAATATCTTTATAATTTGAAATATGTTAAAATGTAATATATGATTGTAAATGAAAAATTTTTTTTAGACTTGAAAATGGCTCGACGAGCCGAAACGTCGTCATTTTGATGAGTAGTCATTAAGTGACAAAATTTTTTTTTAAATTGGTGTAAATATGGCTAATAATAAATTAACTTCAAAACAATATGGAAATAAGTAGATGCTATGTATTATGTAAGAAAGGAATTAATATTTTTTCCTTGGTCAATTACAATATTTCATTAAGCATAATAGAAATAACAGGAACTATTTTTAAACGCTGACTGTAATATAGACAAAATAATGCCCCGATCATGGGATATTCTTAATTATTAAAAAAAAAATAAAATGTAAGAACAACCAAATGTCTTTAAGAAATGATAAAGATAATATATCAGCCAGGAAAAAAAATGTAGTAGACTATTCTATTCCTAAATGCAATATTTTTAAATCGGAAGACATTATTAAATATACCAAAATTAATGGACTGTATCTTTGTTAATAATTGTCCGATTTTTACGATCTTTTTTTTTTTTTGTTTTGTAGGTAATTTAGTAATCTTTTTAATTATTATGGGTACAATAACAAAAAAAAAATGCATACTTTTTTAGTTAATCGCAAATAAAGTATAAGATAAAGTTCCTTCATAACTTTTTTTCCAGAAATTACGGGGGATAAGGACTATTTTTCGCATGTGAAGGAGAAGAATACCTTCAAAACGAGTGGTCAATCATTGGATTTGATGAAGTATTGACGAAGTTACGGCGTACCGAAAAAAAAAACACTTTTTATAAATAATATATAGGACATGAAGGCACGGAGGTTAAGCTTGTAAAAAATTGTCGACTATCTTTATTTTGTATTAATATTTACTCACTCTATAATACTAATTATATTTATATTTATATTTTCTGTTACAGAACCCAGTTCTAAGTGTTTATAATGTTAAGTGGAATCTCTTAGAAGCTGTTCTCTTCGGGTTCGTCGGAGCGGAAGTCGATGTGTATGGAACGACGCTTCAGGATCTGCTTTTTTGTTGTGGGTTCCTCGTCATCACTCTTTTCGTTAGTATACTTTTTATATTTGACGGTCATATTATAACATTACATCGCATTAAAAAATTAAAGTAAATTTAAATTCTTTAAGTTTAAAATACATTTACCCGACTACTTTACAACACTTACTAGACAAACGCTCTAACCTTCCAATTAAATATAAAAGACTAATTTACATGACTATAATAAGGCCTATTTAGACTTACGGAGTTGAGCTATGGGGCTCCACCAAACCTTCAAATTCCTCTCGCATCCAATCCTTACAATCCAAAATCCTTCGTAAAATCCTCAATGCTCCCTACTTTGTCACAAATAAAATCATCCATAATGACCTTAATGTTCCTTATGTATCAGATTTGGCCTAATCCAGATATCTGTCCTTCCATAATAAACTTTATAACCATCCCAACCCTCTTGTTTTTAACCTTGCTTCCTATTCAATTCCTGATAACCCTCCGAGGCGTCTGAAAGGAAGATGGCCAAGTAATCTCCTAATATAGACATATTATTAGAGTGCGAATTTACCAGATGTATTTTTTTAATACAGTTGTAAATATCATATAAATAAATTTTAAGAAAAAATACATTTACTATGTGAAAATTGCTGACAGTGAAAAAAAAAATAGGATAAATTGTTGGAGTGTATGTTCACAATTTTATTTAGTTTTAACAGTTTTCGGATGTTTTTTCTACTCTTAGTTTTCTTTCTTCAAGATAAAAAAAATCTAGTGCGCGCATCACACAACTTTCACTTACACCTCTACTTTACATAGAAATTATTTTTTGGCAATGTTGGGCTATTATAAAATTTTTGAAGTGCACTTCAAACGAAGCTAATGCTTAAAGCTTATAGTTATCAAATCATCAAAACTATTAAAATTACAAAATGTCTATTTATTATATCGATGGTGGGCAATACAAATCTTGTGACTCCATATGCTTATATAAACCATACAACTTTAGTTTCTGAGACTTTCAGTTGACGGAATGACTAACTCCAATTTCAGTGATATTTCTAGTTGGAAAAGTTGTATCAATACAGACAGTGAGTAAGTTGATTGCAGTGTTCAAATATAGAACTGTGAATGAAGGTATAAATATTTCCGGAGATTCATTTTCAACCTGGATAAGCATTTTTCTTTTCTTTTTTTTCCAGTTTCCAATAATTATATTCTTTAAAATTTTATATTTAACCATTTTTTAAAGTAACTATCAATAAAAGAGAGTTAATTTTTGTAAATAAACCATATTAAAGGTACTTTAAAGGAAGACGTTAATGAACAATGGGCATTTAAGCCCTGTAAAGTGACATCAATGGAGATAAGATCTAAATCATATTAAAGACTGCTTGATTACACACTGATACGCCAAGTTTAATCAAAATCGTTTGAGCCACTTTTGAGAAAATTGTAAAAATATGTTTCACCTCTGATATAAAGTGGCATTTCTGGTTAGCCGGTTTTAAGGAAAAAGTTGTTGTGACATCCAAGGCATATGCCTATCTTAAATACGTAATATCAGTTTCATTCGTCTTTTCATTTTTGAGCTAGACTGTTCTCATACACACATACCCACACACCATTTTGCGGGACTTGGTTATTTGGACTCAAAGTAAAACAGAACGGGTATTTCCATTAAAAACTCAGATTCGAAAGTTTCCGCGATCGCAATACTTTCTCTTACCACACATTACGTATATAGGTAAGTGAGAATAAAAACAAAACTTAACAATCGCTCCCACAAAAAAGACTTGAGCGAAAAGTACCCGATCGACGACAACATTTTTATTCATAAAATATCGAGAAAACGATTTTATTCATTAGTCATGGTTAATATAATACTAATAATTTTTAGTTACTTAAACGACTAAAGATTAAATATGTAATAGTTATAAGTAAATAATATTTTACCTGTATTCTTAGTAAACCTCTAATATTCAGCATAAAACGTGCAGTATAATAATAAATAATAATTAAAAATGAAATTTAAGCTGTAACTGATTGTTTGATTTGAATTAAAGACATATTTACGGGTTAAGACAAATTGTGCCTCTTAAAAAAAAACGAAATGCGAAAAATAATTCCAAGATTTAATGAAATGATAAATGTTTATTAACGCCTTGTATAACATAAAATTATAAATGATTGATACAATTCTCTACATTTTTTTTAAAACTTATTTATTGAAAAATATTACAATCTGTCTCTAGGACATTTATAATAGAGTTCACAGATCACATTCACACTCTTTGTACAATAAATAAAATAAATTATACAGAAAAATAATATATATACAATAAATAAGAATAAAACAACCTAAAAATAAATAAATAAAAAGAACACATACAAACTTATATGCAATATTTATAATTTGGCGTGAAAACTCCAAACCAGACTTGTCCCTCCAACTGTGGAGGGAAAAGTATGACTCCAGGAGTTACCTGCACTCCTCTCTCAACCGCGTTACTAGGTCTAAACCCAGTGGAGATTGAGCAAGAGTGCTAAATTAAATTAAATGTTGTTTTGGTTCCGGTGGAAATAAGGCGATCACTAATTTAGTTTTTCAATATCTTAATAGAAGTCCTAAGTTTAATTTATATAAATATAAAATGTATCTAAATTCTTAGCAACTTGCTGAGTGAATTACAAGAAATTCCTAGAATGAAGTGTATTTCTTCTATATTTGCAAATGGTGGCTGTATTATTTTTTAAATGTTTTGTTTATATAAAAAATAAAGTATGAATTTTTAGTGCCTGAAGATACAAAATCAAGTTTTATAAAATTTTATTTCACGTTGTCAACTAAACAGTTTTTTTATATTTCTTAATTTTTAAATAACAAATATTTTATTTTCATTATATAGATAATTTAATGTGATAATATAAAAAAGAAAGAAACAATAAAATCCTAAGAAAAATAACAGAAATACGAAATTAAGACAGTAAATATTAAGTTTGGGATCACTATATCGAGTTAGATAAGAATGCTGCAGATAGAGCCACTGTCTTAGGCTTGTGGTTTTACTATTATATTTTTTCATTTAAAGTATTTCTATAATACAACTTGTTTTATAATTATATTATTTTATTACGATTTTTATAAAAGTGTTTATTTGTAATAATAATGCAAATTTATTAGATGAGGAACCTAAAATAGATCTTAAAAGATAGAAAAAAGTTTTATTCGAAGTTGGTGATTATGACGGTAGATAGCGCTCAAACATTTGTTTTTTCTATCTTACAGTAAAAGTAGTTTTTATACATAATGTCTCTGTTGTTAATGGCCAAAGTATAGGGGATGAATACAAAGTTTCTAACAAAAAAGTTCATTTGATTACAAACGGAAAAAAGGAATTTTGTTTATTCTTGTTTTTATTAAATAATATGGAGTCGCTTAAAAAATATTAAAGATAATAAAATTCTAAACACGACATCATAATTCTGATAAAATTTTCTTTGAGAAAATATTAATTAACTAAAGGTCAATGGTAACGATATATGCTACTGATGTATGCCTACTGTATCTAACAGTACAGCGGTCGTATTAGACATCCTGAAAGTCCCTTTTTATCATTGACTTAAGTAAATTTTATCAATGTTTTCTCAAAATAATTTTGACTACTTGACGATGGTGTATTTAGAATTTAATTATCTTAAACAGTTTTTGAGCAATTCATCCACATTCAATAAAAAAAAAAACGTTGCCACATCAAGAAAAACACAAAATTGGTCTGTTTTTTTGTTCAGAATCGGTTCATGCATCAAATGAACTATTTTGTTGGATGTTTTGTCTAGAATCATCCCCTAGAGTTTGACTATTAAGAAATGAGGCCAATTGTATATAAGTGGTATATTTTCAAAGACAAGCATTTGCATAGTTAATGATTTTTCAGGAAACTCAAAAAACTATATTTTCTATTCCAATTATAATATATTATGTAATATTATATTATACTAGACTCACACTTCGTTTAAAAAAATATATTTTTTGTTTGCTACGAAAATTCGTATTTGGTGGTTCTCTGAAACGCGAAATACATATCTTAACTTGGTTTCTCCTTACAACAATATTTGAACCAACTTTGGTCGTAGGGTCGGTACGAATTGTTCTATTTCAATATTTTATCCATAACATAAAAATATGCCAAATATAAATTTGATGAAATAGAATTCTCATGAGTAATATTAACCGAATATGTAAAAAAAAAAAAAAAAAAAAAGAAGGGAAATGAGTCTTTTTCTGTACATACAGCCTGCTAGGTCAAAACGTTCCTTCCAGAGAACTAAATCCAAAGAATTTAGCCTTCATCAGATATTCAAAGGAAATGTTTAGAAGCTTTTGTAAACTTAAGAAAAATATAATATTATAATTATAAATTTAACGAAACTAGCAAGGATTAAACTATGGATGGGTATAGATCATAATATTTATAAAGTGATAACTTACTAAATAAAAGTATTAAACCTTTGATTAAAAACATTACTATAATGAACTTATGCTGAGCCTTAAATGTATTGAAATATGATATAAATATAAACTAATTTGCAGAATTTTATTTATTTATTTTATTTGTAGAACATATTTCCGTAAATTCCTAATTATTCCAGGAGCAATTAAAACGGAATAGTGTTTGTGGCAGGAAATAAATCTAATACAATGAACATCATCTATTTTAGATCACACAATCTCACGATTTGGTATAGCCAATTTAAAATGTTTTTCATTTAAAAAATAAACATTATTTTCAAATTGATGATAAAAAACCTCATAAAATCAAAATTTGATTTAGGATTAACGCACCAGTTATGGACAGGGTGTCCAGTTTTGGACAGGTTGGACTTTAAATGTAAATAATAAGATTCCTTGTTGATTTAAAGATCAAGTTTTTTTTTTCTACATTGAATAACAATCCCCTCTATTCACTACTGTATGAACAAATCTTCCAAAATAAAATCTTAAAATGCCTATCATTGTTGTTTCAGTAGTGCTAAGAGTGAGTTGAACATTTATGTTATCTCATCTTTACAGTTAAATAAAAATTTAGAATTTTTTTGAGGTATGTCTATTACTGGCACCGACTACTTCCTCTCCTCGACCATTACTAGAACAATTGAAGTTCGAGGTGTCCATCACTAGTACAAACAGGTGTCTTTTTTTTTTAAATATGTATTATACCTGCATAACTGAATATGTTTTCAATTTGAAAGTGTTAAGAAGGCATTAGAGAGTCTAAATGTCCAATGGAGAAGTTTATAACTATAATAATTACGGCTATATCCATCACTGGTGAGCTTAACCTAACTAAAGTGTAACAGTTACACGATTACGTCTTCTATATGACCTAAACTTAATGCAAATCGACACACGTTCTTATTTACTCAAAGAAGGTAAAGAGAATTATCCTACAAAATTAAAATATTGTTTGGTTCCTTCATGAATTAAAGCAGATCAACGTAAATTTTAAAAGTTAAATATGGCCCTAAATCTGTTTTTAAATTAAGAATTGAAATAATAGAGTCAATGAACCTAATTTTTATTCGAAACCATTTATTAATTATCAGTTCCAGTTACCTATATATGAAATGTCTCGCAAGTCAATGAAAACATAGAAGAAAAAAAATATAGCAGACCTCAAAAGTTTATACAAACCGTTGGGCCGTTTTTCCTCAGAAAATGAAAAAAATTTAGTTATTTTTTAAACTTTTTTTCCCCCCATTGGCATTACACTCTATGTAGATCTTTTGCCACCTTAACAAGCCTGCTCCATCTCTTCCTATCTTGCACTATTTCTTTCCAGTTAGCTGGGTGATCTTTTGCCTACAATTAAGGCATTAATTGTCTTGTCGAGGCTTTTTTTTAAGTAAGTCAAGTTTTTTGTTTAATATTTAGCAATATCTAAAAACTATTTAATTCAAGTAATTAACAATTGGTACATTGTAAACTAGATAACTTTCTTTCATATACAAGTAGAGTTTGTATTTGTTAAAACCATTAGTCCGTGGTACAGACCTCTTTTTTTTATCAAATTATTAACATCTGACTGAAACTTCGTAAATAGGTTTTAACCTACAAACATTTTATTTACGAAAATTCTCGGAATTGGTGCGTTTTCAATCTGCAGGTCGGCAAACTTTGTCTATTTAATTAGGTACTTAAAACTTGTAAATACCCATTTGATTTCCACATGAATCCTAAGATATCGTGAGCACAGAGCTGAGAAAAATGGTGGCCTTAAAAAATATCGAGCCGTTTGGCTTGAGATACATCCCGAAATTGTCAAAATAATGAGATTATATAGGAGAAACGGCCCAATATCCAATTATCTTACGATCCAAGTGAAAATCAAATGGGTATTTACGTGTTTTTAGTAAATAATTAAATAGACAAAGTCTGCCACAATCCAGATTGAAAATGCCCCAATTCCGAGAATTTATGTAAATATAAAATTTTTATATTACGATAAGATGAAGCTATTTACGAAGTTTCAGCGGAATGTTAATAATTTGATAAAAAAAAAAAAAAAGAGGTCTGTACCACGGACTACCTATAAAGGGGACTTTCAAGTTACTAATCAACCGCTATTTCTTTCTGTAAGACATTTCATAGCCGATTTACTCTGATTATTTCTACAGAGATTTAGCGTGTTTTTCTCTGTATTCTCTTGATTGTAGTTCTTTAATGATTTTAGTAAAATAATAGTTTAATACCAAATTGTTTTAATCATTATCGAGGTATTGTTTCAGCTATTTCATTTCTTCCAATTTTCATCTTAAGTTTGACAATAAGCAGATTTGCTGACATGTTAAGAAAACTGACATTTTAGGCATGAGGAAAAAATAGTAACCAGCAGCACTTCTTCCTGGTCTTGATTTACTTCTTTAATTCAGGAAAGCAGATCTCTCGCCCAACTCCTCTTCATTCGTCTCCTGATGGACATGTCAGTTGTGACCATGATGTTTATAAATCCGTCGTGATGTCCCTGTAGTTTAAGATGAAATCCGGAGTAGAGAGTATCTATGTTTTGGTGATGGTTGTCGTACGTGGATATATTAAGTTTTGTTGTTTACTTATCAGGGAGCAGCTGTTATTTAATTTAAATAAACTATTTAAATTGGAATATTTGTTGTTGATAATATGTTTAAAATATATTATTTTAGAAATGAAACCAAATTATAAACGTATTTTAGAGTTAGTTGCAGCTGGGATCATGATTTTTTTCTATGTTCACTTTTTTAACGATTTTAGATCAGACTGACCTGCTTCGCTGCCTGTGTTTCACTGAGCGGTAAATTCAACTGGAAGGAAGTATGTTTGGGAACGCTGGTCTGGCTGCCTAAAGCTACTGTATTGGTAAGTTTTATATGTATGAATATTTAATATGATGACTATATATTGATATCGTACTTTATTTATTGAATATAATCTGATATAATAAGACATGTGTCATATTTTTAACATATTCAAGATTACTTTTTTTACTTTGGAAATAAATATCTTTGTATATTATTTCTAAAAGGTGTTCGTCAAATTTAATGATTCATTCCTCATTTTTAAGATCTTATTCTTCAAGTGGGAAAAATAGTCACATCCCCACAAAAGTTCACGAAAAAAAAGTTATGAAGGAAAAGGAACGTTGTTGTTCAGGAAGAGATGTCTTTGGAGATTTAAGGATGCTATTTCAGAATCTGAGTTGGATAATTGAATGGCGGTGTCATTAGCAAATGTTGCCAGGAAGGTATTGGGGTGGACAGGGATATTAGCGGTAAAAAGCAAACACCGGCTTCAACTGGGATAGGAATTGGAAAATTTTGTACCACAGCGAACCCGAAAGGTACGATCAGAAAGGTATGAACGGAGGATTAGGTACAAGGACTGGGGTAGATGGGTTTTCAGATTAGAAAGAAGCCCAGCGTGTCATACCCGGTTAAAAGCTTGAGCTATATCCATATAAAACCTACTACCTACTACCTAAACCGAAAACTACTAAATAATACACTGATATACTCAGTTTAATTAAAATCATTAAAGCAATTTTTGAGGAAATCGTAAAAATGTGTTAAATCTATTATATAAAGTGCCATTTCCGATAAGCAGATGACGAAAAAGGTATATAGAATTAGAATTGTTGTTGTTGTTAGAATTATCACAGGTATATAGAATTAGAATTGTTTTTATTGGCTTAGTATATATCGTAGCCATGGAGTCTGACCCATTTAGTGTTAGTAGGGATTAGTTTTATAAGTAGAAGAAAATAATAAAAATAAGAAGACAAAAACAAAAATATTTTTATCTAATAAACATCACAAAATATTTTTATACTCCAAATATTTTTAATATTTATGTATAAATTTGTTTATATAATAATAATAATAATAAAAGGCTTAGCCAACCCGAAGGTTCGATGCCGACACCACCAATCGCTTATTACACACCTCCCTCCACCGTTCGCCATCCAAACCCAGTCCCTTCAGATCGGCTTTTATGCAATCTTCCCACCTTCGCTTCGGTCTACCCCTCGGACGCTTACCATTCGACACCGCAAATATTAACCTTTTAGGAATTCTCTCGTTACTAAGCCCAACAACTTTACAAGCCCATTTGATTCGCCGCGATGAAATTACCTCAATTATATTACCCGGATACAGCTCACGCAATTCGGCGTTGTGTAACCGTCTGAACTCTCCGGTTAACTCATCCTTCTTCGGTCCGAATATTCTACGCAATACTTTATGTTTATATAATAAATATCATGAATGAATAAAAATACATATATACTAAAGAAAATTTTTCTTTGCAGAACACAACAAAGCAAAACATATAGTAGAGATCTTAAGATTACAACGCACATGTAGAATCGTACAATTAATAATAGTAATATATAAAAGGCACCCAAATTGTGAATAAATACACGTACGTCCATAGACATATTAATACATGCCTGACTGACCTAAAGCTGAGGGTTTGTACTTGTATTGATAGAGCACTTAACACTCATAATAAAATAGAATATTTTGTTCAACTGGTCAAGTTTTTTTCATATCCAACACACACTCCAGTGATAAATCATCTGTGGCAGCCTCTATATGTGTGTGTAGGTATTTCCTTCTATCTGTCTCCAGAAACAAACACTCCAGCATCAAGTGCTTTAAACGACTTACTGTCCGTTACTTTGTTAGAGGTATCATAAATTTTAAATAATTTTCGGGTTCTGAGCAATTGTAAAAAACAAATACGTCAATACATTGTGCTGTAATTTGAATTGTAGCCACGTTCAATGTTTCTGGAGTATAAATTGTTGGCTACAGTTGTTACCATAGCATTTTTGTTTATAACAAGTATTCCTAGACCAGAAAAACGATAAAATATTCAACGAAATTCAAAGGTATATAAAAAGCATTAAAATACAATTTCACTTTTGTACGACTTTTCGTTTTTCAGCTAGACTGTCAACACACATACAAACAGACAGACAGACAATCTTACAAGACTTGTTTATTTGTATTTAGGGTACCTCAAAACATGTATTTCCGTTGAAAACTCAGATTCTAAAAATTTTCACGATCGCAATACTTTCCCTTACTATATATTCAAATATAGGTAAGTGACAGTACTAGAGAATGTTCTGAATTTGCTTATAATATCGGATACAAGTATGCATATGTAATACCATAAAATGTAAAATAAATTGATGATCACGGTCTGAGTGATATTTTATTATAGACTAGCTGATGTACCCATCTTTGAAGGGTGTATTGTTAAAAATTGAGAATCTTTTTTTGAGATGGATATTGTATTATGGGGAAGGGGTTCATTTCATAACATTGGGTGAGGGGGGAGAGGTACATTTAATTTTTAGAAGATTTTCTTCCGATTTCCGACTAATCCGTTAGGTTAATGATAAAAATGTATACGACAACATTTGTTAGGCTCGGGAAGTTGAATAGAATGACACATTGAACGGAAAGATCGGACAAAGTTGAAAAATGAGTGTGTTTTAAGCAACAACGCGTTACAGATGTTTGGTATTTCGGATTTTTTATGTTGAATTGTGATAATTTTTTCTGTCAGTTGAATAGTACAACTGCGGTAGAGTAGATTGGGATGAGAATCGAAGTTATTAACATGTATTATCAACATTAACCGGAATCTCTAGACAAATTACCCAAGAATTCATAACTTTGGTTCTATTCAATATTTTGTTTTCATTCAAAGCCTATGTTTTCAAGTCAAGTAAACCTTAATATAATGTCAAAATTTAAAAAGTTTACAACAAGCCATTGCTGAGCTAATCCCTGACAAAATTTCATTTCAATGCGGACATACAGACAGAAAATTTTTAAAAGTGGATTTGGTGTCTGCAATGTATAAAGCGGAAAGATATCATGAAACGGGTTGATTCTATTCAATATACAAACAACATCTTTATTTTATTTATATAGATGTTGTTTAACCTATAAACATATGTTTATTATTAACATTTATTATCAACATTAACCAGGATCTCTAGACAAATTACCCAAGAATTCATAACTTTGGTTCTACTCAGTATTTTGTTTTCATTCAAAGCCTATGTTTTCAAGTCAAGTAAACCTTAATATAATGTCAAAATTTAAAAAGTTTACAACAAGCCATTGCTGAGCTAATCTCTGACAAAATTTCGTTGCAATGCGGACATACAGACAGAAAATTTTTAAAAGTAGATTTGGTGTCTGCAATGTACAAAGCGGAAAAATATCATGAAACGGGTTGATTCTATTCAATATACAAACAACATCTTTATTTTATTTATATAGACGTTATTTAACCTATAAACATATGTTTATTATGAACATTTATTACCATTATTAACCGGGATCTCTAGACAAATTACCCAAGAATTCATAACTCTGGTTCTATTCAATATTTTGTTTTCATTTAAAGCCAATGTTTTAAGTCAAGTAAACCTTAATATGACGCCAAAATTTCAAAAGTTTACAACAAGCCATTGCTGAGCTAACCGCTGACAAAATATCGTTGCAATGCGGACATACAGACAGACAAACATTTTTTTCAAAGTGGATTTGGTGTCTGCAATGCATGAAACGGAAAGGAATCATAAAACGGGTTGATTCCATTCAATATACAGACAAAATCTTTATTTTATTTATATGGATATGTTATTTTGGAGTTAATTTTGTTTTGTTTTTTGCATTAGCAAATTGTATGTTTATAAAAAAATATTTCGTTGACAATAACACGGCTCCTAGACTTCTGCCCCACTAGATTCGAAATCGGCCTCATCGCGCGACGTCCTTAGGTAACCGAGCTATTGTCTAAATATCCATTGTCCCGCGGTGACCTGTGTTTTTGCCTCATCCCGACTGTTTATATCCCGAAGGTGTATTTATCGCTAATTCGTTTCCAACTGGTGTTTATCCCATCCGTTAGAACTGGATTCATCTGGACAACTCGAAGGTACCCCAGGCCGGCTTTGGACCAATGTCAAATGTATTGCCCTCTGGTTTATAATCTGATTACAGCATATCTCATCCGTCACTGATATAATTTAGTGTCAATCCAAACATATTGAATTATATAATAATTAGTTTAATCGTGTGAATAATTCTGTTGGTATATTCATCACTAAACAAATGACAATACAATAGGGAAATAAATAAATAATAAATACAACCATAGGCGCACACTTAAAAAAAAAAAAATATGGTGGGAGTTTTTATTATGTTTAAACTTCTACATAATTATTGTGAAACGAAGAAATGTAATATAATTGAATATTTAAAATTAATTTGTTAATATTTTTGTATAGTTTTACTTATTATATATCCTTGAAAGTATCTTTAAAAAGACATAATCGAATAAATAGCATATTTGTTAAGATTAAAAATAGTAGGGAGACGAAACAGCCTTCATAACATTGGTACATTTTTAGAATCTTTTCAGTAAAAATGAATAATGTAAAAAAGTGATAAATAACTTTTATTTCTTGAAATATTCAATCTTAAATTAAAAAATACATTTTTTTTTGTTTATTTATTATCAGCCAATTTTACACCAATTTTTAAATTTTGTCAACTTAATGACTACACATCTAATTACGACGTTTCGTATTAGTATTATTCTTATATTCAATTCTAAATACCCATCATGTACCTGTCCTTTTCACTTATGCGAATTGCATGCTTCTACTCATAATACATTTTTTTTATTCTTGTCATGTCCACCTTATCATGTGTCACCGACATGTCATCAGTCTCATTTCTATTCAGTCACGGAATAGAAATGAGACTGATGACATGTGGGTGACACATGATAAGGTGGATATGACAAGAATAAAAAAAAAATTATGAGTA